AGAACACATGGCCGTATCTGTGAATCTCTTTGACAACTTCATCTCTCAGGCAGTTTTTCTTTCTGCATTAAAACAGAAATCATTATTTCCTCTGTTGAGCACTAACTGGTGTAGTTGCACTCAGCCTGGCAAGATAGTCCCACTAAGAAATGTACACCTGAACTGAGCCAAGAAAAAAAGTTAATCATGCATCTTCCAACACATTCTGAAGCCTACATTCTCCAGAGAAAAATAACCTATATTTGCTAAGTTGTTATTTTCCTCTCTTTTATTATTTCACTTATTCAGTACCTATTGTTGGATTTGCCTTATGGAAACTGGGCTACATGATTCCAATTCCATTGTTACAGGGGGGAAATAACAAAAACATTTCAATTTCACACATGACAAAACAGATAAAATTGTGTGCTTCTAAAATATGACTAGCTGCCATAATGTGCTCTACTGATTTTTCCACATTCCTTAGCTTATGTGTAGACAGGGCTATCAATCAGGTGAGTTCTTCCTTAAATGAAATGTACTGTTTATGGTATTTTCAGCAATCTGCCACCACTAGGCCTACTTCTCTTTTCTTCCCACATAGTTTCTGCAATGATCTTACTTCCTTCAGAGGATATATACTGCCAAATACAAAGGTTTAGACACCATATTACAGCTTCTCAGTGAGTTAGAATTAAAATCGATGATGTCTGTCTCCAGGTTCAAAATCAGAAGTGAATATAAAGTGGGCTGAGCAAAAAATAATAAATTGTCTAAATATATAGGAATACTTTAGCCAAGAAAACTGAGAAAGTGTACTGTGTGACTTAATTGCCGAGCCACATATATATGTAGAAATGTGTGTTAATATATCTGTGTGGGTAATGTGTCTGTGTGTGAATGTATCTGAGTATATAACATATACACATACATATATTACATAGGCATATGTATTTTTCATAATAAATAATCCCAATCTATGAGTAAATCTAATAGTATTATCTCATAGAATTATAAGGTTTAAATAAAGTCCTTACTTTGTGCCAAGCATTAGTCTACATGCCTTATTTTATTTACTAATTTCATTTACAAATGAGGAAACTAAAACATGAATATGTTATGTAACTTGCCCACAAAGCTGTAATTGGCAAACCAGAATTCAAACCCAAGCTGGCTTCTAAACCCAAGCTCTTAGCTCACTGTCTAGGAAATAGTTAATGCTTTATAAATGTTAACTATGACTTTCAGTACAATTATTGATAATGAAAATAAAAATTAAAAGTTTATAAGCTAAAATAAAACATATAAACAAATATTCAAAACTACACCAAGAAAATTATGAGTAAAAAGTTTTCAAAATCTAAATGATGACTCTTGCCCTGGCCGGTATGGCTCAGTGGTAGAGTGTCAGCGCTAACAACAAAGGGTCACAAGTTCAATTCCCAGTCCAGGATGGGTACCTGGGTTGCAGATTCCTTCCCAGCCCTTGTCAGGGTGCGTTCTGAAAATCAATGAAAAAATCAATGGAAAAAATATCCTTGGGTGAGGATTAACCAAATAAATAAGTTAAAAAATTGCCGAAACCGGTTTGGCTCAGTGGATAGAGCGTCAGCCTGCTGACTGAAAGGTCCCAGGTTCGATTCCGGTCAAGGGCATGTACCTAGGTTGCGGGCACATCCCCAGTGGGAGATGTGCAGGAGGCAGCTGATCGATGTTTCTCTCTCATCGATGTTTCTAACTCTCTATCCCTCTCCCTTCCTCTCTGTAAAAAATCAATAAAATATATTTTTTTTAAAAAATAGATAAGTACTTAGATAAATAGATATAGATAGATAGATAGATAGATGATAAAAATAAATAAATCGTGACTCTTCTATCCCATGATAAGAGCCTTGCACACAATGGGCACTAATATTTACTGAATGTACTAATATACAGCATACAATAATAGACTATCAAGAGTATAAAAGAGGAGAGTTATAAAGATTAATGTTATGAGTTGAATTATGTCCTCTAAAAAGATACATTCAAATCTTAACTCCCTATGAATATGACTTTATTTGGAAAGTAGAGGCCCGGTGCACAAAAATCCGTGTAGTCAGGGGGTCTCTCAGCCTGGCCTGCGCCCTCTAGCAGTCCAGGACCCATCAGGGGATGTCCACCTGCCAGCTTAGGTCCATTCCCCAGGGAACTGGGCCTAAGCTGGCAGTCAGACATCCCTCTGGTAGCCCAGGAGTCCTGAGGGGATGTCTGACTGCGGCTTAGGCCCACTCCCTGCAGGGAGTGGACCTAAGCTGTCGGTGGACATCCTTAGTGCTGCAGAGGAGGAGGGAGAGGCTCCCGCCACCACCACTGCGCTTGCAGCCATCAGCCCGGCTTGTGGCTAAGCGGAGCTCCCCCTGCATTGAGCATCTGCCCCCTGGTGCAGTGCACGTCATAGCAACCCGTCGTTCCCAGTCATTCCAATGTTAGGGTCAATTTGCATATTACCCTTTTATTATATAGAATAGGGTCTTTGCAAATATAATCAAGAAAAGATGAAGTCATACTGAATCAGGGTGTCCCTATAAGAGAAAAATGTGGACATAGATACATACAGGAAGAATGTCAACAATGAAGCAAAGACAACTGAAGGAGCTGCAAGCCAAGAAATGCCAACAATTGCTGGCAATCACTAGAAGATAGGAGAAAAGCATGAAAAAGAATCTCCCTCCAAGCCTCCACAAAGAATCAACCCTACCAACACTTAAATTTGGAACTTTTAGCATCCAAAACTGTGAGAGAATAAAGGTCTGTTTTTTTAAAGTAATTTTTTATTTTTCAATTGCAGTTGACATACAATATTAGTTTAAGGTATACAACCCGGTGATTAGACATTTACATAACTTATGAAGTCATTGCCCCAATAAATCTACTACCCATTCTGACACCACAGTTATATTATCATTGATTATATTCTTTATGCTTACTTTATATCCCCATGACTATTCTGTATCTACCAATTTATACTTCTTAATCCCTTTACCTTTTCACTGATCCCAACCCCCAAAATGTTCTCCGTAACTATGAGACTGTTTCTGTTCTGCTTGTTTTTCAGATTCCACATGAAATCATCTGACATTTGTCTTTCTCTAACTTATTTCACTTAGCGTAATACCCTCTAGGCCCATCCATGTTGCAGATGGCAAAATTTCACTTTTTTATGGCTGAATCATATTCCATTGTATACATGCACCATTTCTTCTTTATCCATTCATTTATTGTTGGACACTAACATTGCTTCCATATCTTGGTTATAGTTAATAATACTGCAATAAACATATTGATGTATATTTCTTTTCAATTTAGCATTTTTAGTTTCTTTGGGTAAATACCCAGAATTGAAGTTGCTGGGTCCTTCTTTGTCTCTTGTTATAGCCTTTGTTTCAAAGTCTATTTTGTCAGGTATAAGTATTACTACCCCATCTTTTTATTTTGTTTCCATTTTCATAAAATACCTTTTTTCATCCCTTTACTTTCAATTTGTGTGTCTTTTGATCTGAATTGAGTCTCTAGTAGACATATGTAAGGGTCTTGTTTTTTTATCCATTCAGTCACCGTATGTCTTTTGATTGGAGCATTTAATCCATTTGCATTTAATTGTTGATAAATATGTATTTATTGCCATTTTATTATTCATATTTTTTCTTCTTCCTCTTAAAGAAAACCCTTTTAGCATTTCTTGTAATACTAGTTTGCTGGTAATAAACTCCTTTAGCTTTTTCTTGTCTGGGAAGTTCTTTATCTGTCCTTCTATAGCTTTGCTGAGTAGAGTAATCTTGATTGTAGGTTCTTGATTTTCATCACTTTGAATATTTCATGCCACTCCCTTCTGGTCTGCAAAGTTTCTGCTGAGAAATCAGCTGACGACAGTCTTAGAGCTCTCTGGTAGGTAACTAACTGCTTTTCTCTTGCTGCTTTTACGATTTTCTGTTTGTCTTTAATCTAAAGTTCTGTTGTTTTAAGCCACCCAGTTTGTGATAACTTGTTACAGCAGTCCTAGGAAACTAATACAATCAGTATTGTGTCAGAATAACATAGAAAATTGCAATTTCATTTAGGAAAATAGTTTGGCACATTCTTGTAAAATCAACCATGCACTCAGCAATCATATTCTTGGGTATTTGTCCCAGAAAAATGAAAACCATGTTCACACAAACACCTGTACATTAATGTTCATGGCAGCTTTATTCACAATACCCCACAACTGGAGACAACTCAAATTGGTTAAAAGATTATTTAACTATTCAACAGGAGAATGGTTTAATAAATTCTGATACATCCATACAACTGAATAGTATTCAGCAATAAAAAGGAATAAACTTTTTATTGATACATGCAACAACTTGGATGGAACACAAGGGAATTATGTTTAGTGAAAAAAGTCAATCCCAAAAGATCACATACTGTTTTATTCCATTTATATAAAATTCTCAAAATGATCAAAATAGGGAAAACAATATGTGACTTTTGGGGATTGACATCTTATATAATTGTAGTATAATATCAAAAGCAGGAAATTGACATTGGTACAGAACCATTGAGCAGGTTGCAGATCTTATTTAGTTTTTACCAATTTTTATATGCATTCATTTGTGAATATGTGTGTATTGTTCTTTGCAGTTTGATCCAACGTATAGATTCATGGTGGTGGTTGCAGAACTGTTGCAGACCCCCTTCCCACTCCCAACCTTGTATAGATAATAATTCTGTACCAATGTTGATTTCCTGCTTTTGATATTGTACAATTACATAGGATGTCACCAATGGGAATAAATGGGAGAAGGGTTCATAGATCTCTGTACAATTTTTGCAACTTCAAATAAAAAGGGTTTTTTTAAAGCCACTTGAAGAACAAGAGGAAGATAAAGTATATTAAATCAGTATAAAAAATGTTTTGTTTCTTACCTTCAAACTCTTTAGATAATTTGAGAGCATACTGGGATAAAACCGATTTTCTTCAGCAACTTGACTATCATATCTTGGTCCTAACATTGTCTTCAGAGGTAAGAATCTTCCTAAAAAAAAGGTCCAGGTTAAAACGCTCTAATTAGCAATTCTCAAAGTCACTTTCTTAAAATGTTTTAAATGAACTGTTCATGAAGCATTCTCAATGTAAACTATACTTTTAAAAGATACTGCCTTGGAACTTTTAAGGACAACATAAATTCTAGAAACTGACAAAGAAATGTAATAGAAAAAGAGAAATTGCCAGGTTATAGAACTTCTATGAAGACTCTTAAGTTCTAAACCACTACATGAAAAAATTATTGCCTTAAAACCTTTAAAGATATGGTACTAGAAAATTGATAAAGGAGCAAATTAAATCAGTTCTTTAAAATTCCTAATTATACCTTCTTTTTTGTTTAAATATATTTTATTGATTTTTTTACAGAGAGGAAGGGAGAGGGATAGAGAGTTAGAAACATCAATGAGAGAGAAACATTGATCAGCTGCCTCCTGCACACCCCCTACTGGGGATGTGCCCGCAACCAAGGTACATGCCCTTGACCGGAATCGAACCTGGGACCCTTTAGTCCGCAGGCTGACGCTCTATCCACTGAGCCAAACCCGTTAGAGCTATACCTTCTTAATATAAACTTGAAACTCTATCTTATGAAACTTATCCTACATCTAAGGATAAGGATCATCCTGAGAAGCATGCTAACCAAAATCATTCTCCAAACAACTATCAGTGATTATAATTCAGCAAGACTGACTGACCTTTTTGGCCTTTATTTCTGAATCACAATATAAGCATAGGAGAAGTCACCTTATACAAGCAATTTTTAAATCACCCATTTTAAAATTTTTATATGTTAAAACACAATAAAACAATAAGAATAAATATCTACCTAAAACAACATCTGAGTAAAATCTTAACATCTGTCCAGAGGCTTTAACTTTAAAAAATTTTTATTTTCTATAAAACTTCTCACCAATAGAAGCTTTGGCCAGGTGGCTCAGCTGGTTGGAGTGTCATCCCATACCCCAAAAGGTTGTGGGTTTGATTCCGGGTCAGGGCACATACCTAGGTTGCGGGTTCAATCCCAGGCGCATGTACAGGAGGCAACCGATCGATATTTCTCTCTCACATCAATGTTTCTCTTTCTATCTCTCTCTCTCAAAAAAAATAAATAAATAAAATCAATAAAAACATATCCTCAGGGGAGGATTGAAAAAATCACCAATAATCTCCACATTGCTAAATCCAATGGTCAATTATCAGTTCTCAAATAAGCCCGCTGGTGTGGCACAGTGGTTGAGCTTGGACCCATGAATCAGGAGACCACAGTTTGATTTCCGGTCAGGGCACATGCCCAGGTTGTGGGCTCAATCCCCATTAGGGGGTATGCAGGAGGCAGTCGATTGAAATCAAACCCGAGACCCTTCAGTCCACAGGTCGACTCTAATCACTGAGCAAAACCAGCAGGGCCAGACATCTCAGTCTTGATATCCAAATGATATCTCAATATTCAAACACCAAAACCTGATCCTCTCATGGTCTTCCCTGTCACAGCAAATGGTAACACATTTTTTAGTAGCTCAGGCCAAAACCTTTAGAGCTATCCCTGACCTTGACTCTTCTCTTTCTAGCACATCCCATATCTAATCTTAGCAATTCCTATCACATCTTCAAAATACATCCAGAATCTGACCAACTTCTCACCACCTCTACCATTATTTCACCTAGATTATTATACTTCACTGAGTTTATTTAACAGTGCCTATTAAGTACCAGGCATTGTTCTAGGTGCATGGAATACATTGGGGGGGGGGGGGGGGGGAGAGGGAGAGGACAGACAAAAGTCCCTGATAGAGCTTACATTCTACTGGGAAATATAAACATAATAAGTTAACAATATGGTATGTTAGAAGATTCATGCCATTAGACCCTCTCCTCCAACTATCTATCTAGCAAACTTCCATTTTTTCAACATAATTCATGTATCAGCTCCTCTGGGAAGCCTTCCCTGATCCCTTTTTTCCTCCCCATCTCCTCTTACCCAACCTCAAACAAAGAAAAAGGTTCATTACCTCTGATATTCCATAATATTCTATAATAGTCATTACTGCATTTATTACAACAGAAAGATATTTTAAAATAATGGTTTGCCACTCCCATGAGACTATGAGCTCTTTAAGGTGAAGAACTATATCATAATCATTTCCCTAACCCCAAGGAGTAGCACAAAGTAGGCACTCAAATATTTGCTATGTAAAATAACTTCAAAGTTACCATCACTATCACAAGACTGTCTCATATTTATATTCCCAGTTAGTTCCTAATAAGTTCTTAACAAAATAATTTTATGTTCAATGACCTTTAAGAAATATGAAGCTTGTTTTCTTTAAAGTGTTCAAACGAAATCTATCATTCAGAAGGAGAAAAGAGAATTCTTCAGACATAAAGTTTGGCCCTATATACAGGAGCTCTCTCACTAGAGTCTGTTTTAATTAGAGAAGGAGACTTCATAGTGGAACAGATTATATATAATTAGCACCATCTTCTTTCTGATCCAGGAAAATTATGAACTTCTGGTACTAATAAAATGCATCCTAATGTCTACAATGAGAAAATTTAAGCAGGCACAACACATTTTCCTACATATGTAAAATACCAAAGAAATTATACAGTAAGCATAGAACTTTTATAGTTAGAAAACTTAAGAAAAAAGGAAGTAGAAAATGGGCATGATTCCTTCTTTTTCACTAAATCTTGTAAGAATATAGCTAGTATTTTTTGCTCTGCTACTATTTCCAAAATACACTATGCAACATGAACACTTCTAGAACACAGACAAAACTTTAAGGGAACTTCAGAGAAACATCAAGAATTCTACGCTGCATTCACTTTACTTTCTAATAAGCATTACAAGCTGAAGCACTATTTATTAGTAAGTAAAGATCTAGTTTGGTTGTCAGGAGGCCTGGGGTTCCGTCCAGGGACTACAATCAATCAGATAGGTGAGTTTAGAGACTCGCTATTCTGAAACACAGACAAAACTTTAAGGGAACTTCAGAGAAACATCAAGAATTCTACGCTGCATTCACTTTACTTTCTAATAAGCATTACAAGCTGAAGCACTATTTATTAGTAAGTAAAGATCTAGTTTGGTTGTCAGGAGGCCTGGGGTTCCGTCCAGGGACTACAATCAATCAGATAGGTGAGTTTAGAGACTCGCTAAACCACAATAATTAAGAATCTAGCCAAAATATTCCAACGCTGTAAAGGAAAAACATTTTATTCTTGACCCTTCATTTCCAGCAGATGGATTTTTTAAAAAGCACACAATTCTGTTTCTCGGAGAGGTATAAAGCTGCCTGGAGCTCAGCACCTCACCTGCTGCTATCAACCCCCAGTCAGTGCCACATTTGTCCCATTTTTAATCTAACAGTAAGTCAGTGCTCTGATATTTGTCACTGCCATCCTGCAGACTATTTAAAATTCTGATTTTAAGTTATTTTTTTAATTCAAAACATTCACTTTGACAAGAACGTCTTTATGATTTTGCTTTTCTCGAAGTGTAGCAGATAACTCTAATGAAAGGATCCAGGAAATAATCTCCAGGCTAGAAAAGACACCAAACATCCAAGTTCGGAAGTTTCTCCATAACTTTATAGAGAAAACCAATATAAAAAGAAAAGATTCACCAGGCCAGTGTGGCTCAGTGGTTGAGCATCGACCCATGAATCAAGAGGTCACCTGATTGATTCCAGGTCAGGGCACATGCCTGCAGTAGGGGTCGTGTAAGAAACACCCCAATAAATATGGATGTTTCTCATCGATGTTTCTATTTCTCTCTCCCTCTCCCTTCCTCTTTCTAAAAAAGGATTCAATGTTAAGTTAGAACTGATAAAGGAAAAAGTCACAATGGCTAGAGAGTAAGACCTATAAAGAAAATATAAAGAGTTTTGATCAATTCATTTGAAGAAAGTACAGTGATTATCAAGTACAATTGTTTTCAATACAACCGAAAATGCATATAAAAGTGATTAGAACATAAACAAAATTATTTCATTTTTGTTGAAGAAAAACATTTCCTTACCCTAAGACTTGGTTAAAGTATCTTTCAGTAACACTTTTATCCATAGTTTATATGGCTTTACTGACTAAAGATTTTATATGGAATGTGAAAAAAGCTGACAAACTAGAAGAATCAGAAAATTAAGTTAGCCCAGCCAGCATGGCTCAGTGGTTGAGCATCGATCTATGAACCAGGAGGTCACAGTTCGATTCCCCAGCAGGGCACATACCCAGGTTTCAGGCTCAAACCCCAGTGTGGGGAGTGCAGGAGGCAGTCGATCAATGATTCTCTCTCATCATTGATGTTTCTATCTCTCTCTCCCTCTCCCTTCTTCTCTGCAATCAATAAAAATATTAAAAAAGAAAATCTAAATTAAAAATAACTTACAGAATCTCCTCTTCCAATAATTTTATATAACTAAACATAGTATAAATATGTACTCACAGGCCACTACAAAATCCTTTATATTTTGTTTCAAAACACACTTCTAGAAAAAACACACATACAATGAAAGACTTGTATTTACAATATACAAAGAACTCTAACAATTTTAACACAATTTTAAAATCAGCAAAAGATTTGGACACTTCACAAAAGAAGATACATGAACTGCCAAACAGCACATGAAAAGATGCTCAACATCAAACCACAATAAGATAATAAAGTGGGTAAAATTTAAAAGCCTGATCACACCAGGTGTCGGAGAGGATGTGGAGCAAATAGAACAATCATATATTGATGGTGGAAATATAAAATATTCAGATTTTGGGGAAGAGTTTGGCAGTTTTTTAAAAGGCTAAATATACACCCACCATATGATCCATTTCCATTCTAGAGGTTTACACAAACAAAATGAAAAAATATGTTCATACAAAGAAGTGTAAATGAATGTTCCTAGCAAGTGAATCTGTAATAGCCAAAAACTGGAAACAACCCAAATGACCAGAAACAACTGAATGAAATAAACAAGTTGTGGTGTATTCATAACAATAGACTACTACT